ATTGTTTCATGCTTTCATGATATGTGTCCTCCATGGACATTCATATCTTGATTTCATTCCTTTTTATTACCTGAAAAACCTAAAGCAAGAGATGATGGTCTTGCAAAATATTTAGCGAGGAGATAGATGTTGGATGTTAAATGTGAAGGTGACTCATATATTCCATGTGTTTTGTTTTTGTACCATTCATTCTACGGTGCTGGGCTACAATGACATCTTAAGGGACTCAGTAAGTCTGTCAGACCTGAGAACTGGCTGTTGAATTTGAGTGTTATTATTGGAACTGGGTGACAGGAGATATAGAATATCAGACCTAGAGGGGATTGGTGGGGCAGGAGGGGTCATAAACACAGTGAAAGGCCATTCACTAACTAGGTTTCTAATTCGATTTGGGGGATGACAATTTGAAGAGCATTCAGCCTTGGAAGCAGTGATGGACCACAAGTAGAAGAGACGGCATTTGCTGAGCCCACTGGGATATGGTATTGATGGAACTAATGAAGGGAGGGCATTTGGAGAAAATTTACTTACCCTGGGTTCTGCATTGGCAGCCATTCAGTGATCACATGCTCTGTTGTCTTAAAGCTGCTGAGTCACCTGGTGGCTTTGTGATTTTAGGAGATGATGCCCAAAAGTATGAAACTGGATCAAGCTAGGTTAAAGTATCTCTGGGAGAGGAGAAGGAAGAGGAACTAGTGAAGATGTAGAATTGGGATCTAATTTGGGCCCAGGATCAAATTTACCAACTAAAGTCTGTGGGAGTACTTAACCAATTATTCAGGGCAACTCTTCAATAATATGATATAATTTGAGACCTCTAATCAATTCTTAGTGAAAAATATGAATCCAAATACACACTTGTAACTGTGAATAAACATACTTTAAAATATTTTTATGGAATGCCCAATAATTTTAATTTTCATAAAATGCTCTGTCCATCAGCTCCTTGGCTGGAATTATCTTTCCTGTCCTCGCTTGACCTTCTAGTTTTCTAATTGACACCTATTTCCAAGAATTCTTGGGCAGAACACTTTACTTCCTAAACTCATCTGCTCTAGTCATCAACTGCAGATGTCACTTTGTAGAATTTGAACTCGAAGACATCAAGTCTATCCCTCATCAGTCACAGAGGCTGAGAAAGTAAAATAGTTCCTCCATAATGGTGGATTATTTTGATATTTCAAATTTGTAGACTCCAAATATTTAGTTTTATGAAAGGACCAAGGAAGGGTAGGACCAGATATATCAGTGCCACAGCCCCTAAGACCCATGTTGTCCTAGAAGAAGCATCTATAAAACACTGACAGGTCTACTTGCAGACATGCATCCTGGTGTTGGGTTTGCTAGAACATTCTTTTAAAAGGAGTTAGATTCCCTGCTGAACAGGGGTGTTAATTTTTCATGAAGTTATGCTGTGATGAGAAGCATGAAAAGGATGAGAGGAAGCTTCAGGAAAAGAATGCTCCAACAAAATAAAAGGAGCTTTCCCCTGGTTCCAGACAGAAATTGGAGACTTGAAATTTTGCTTGTTAGCAGACTGACATTAAATACTGAACCAGCTGATGAAATTAACCCTTTGGTGTGTCTTTCTTGGGAAAGGAAGGAAGATTGTCAATTTAGAAGCCATCTAGAGACTGCAAATATTACATTTCCACTCTGGTAACAAGTTCCTGGTCAGAGGAGGAGCTTGCCCTGGCCAAAAGAATGATGGTCACTTGGATCTCTGATTTCCTACCTATTAAATTAGGGAGTCTCAAAAGTCTTCTCCTATTATAATATTACTCAAATCTACACCAAGACATTTAGAATCATATTTTTTCCACAGTAAATTTAGATTTGAGATGCTGCAATTCAATAAAAACTATATTAATATTCAGTTTATTTCTGTCTCTTGGTCTCTGATCTTAAATAATAAGATTTAAATTTTTGGTCTGTTCTGTGCTTCTTGTTATTTTCAGACACAGAGTCAGCATTTTGCTCCAAAAAGAGACTAAATCTGTCAGACATTATTTAGTGTCAATTAGCTGTGTCTTGGCTGCATATCTATAGGCATTTATTTAAGCAGCACTGCCTATTTTGCAACCTGACTTTTTTGCTCCCCCCTTTTTTTTAACTTGGAGAAAACAGAGTTGAATCAGCCATGGTCCTCTATTTATGCTATGTCATCATTGCAGTTGATGACATCAAAGGGTGAGCAGGGAATGTTCTGAATGGTTTCCAGTGATCTTACCCCTTGGTTCATGTGCACCTGTGCCTTCCTCCCTACTCATGTGTGGCCCAGACCTAGTGACTTGCTTCTAGTAAGTTAACTGTGGCAAGTATAAGAATATCTTCTAGTTCGCACATCCTCTTTCCCACCCTGCCACTCATGCTGAGGAAATCAAGCTGTGAGGCTGAGATGTTTGAAGACATGTTGACAAATTGTGGAAGGAGGCTTCTTGCTAACACCCCATTGCTCTGCCTTCAGATGGGACCATAACCCCAACCTGGATTCTGGTAACCTGGAGAACATGAGTAAGAAATTAAGCCACACATAATCCCTAACTTGAGACAATCAGTGTTTATTGCTTCAAAGCAACAATATTTGGAGCAGTTTGTTATGTAGCAATAACTAATACAAAATTTCCCCTTAAAATTTTTATTTTTATTATATATGTATGGTGCTTTGCCTGCCTATATGCCTATGCATCAGTTCTGTGTCTGGGTGTCCCCATAGGCCAGAAGAGTGCATCAGATTCCCTGAGACTGGAGTTACAGACAGTTGTGAGCAGCCATACGGGTGCCTGGAATGGAACCAAGATTCTCTGCAAAACCAGGGCTCTTAACTGCTGAACCATCTTTCTTGCCCCAAATAGGATTCAGATTTTTTAAGGTATGTATGTATTTGTTGCCCGACTATATGTGAATTGCTGGGAAATTTGTATGTTTTTGTGACTGCATTCTTTACTTACATAAGTAGCACCATGCTGTATCTTTCTTTCCATTTTCCACTTTTGTTTCTTCATGCTGTGTTTCTGAAATGTATTGAAATGACTGAAATGAATATAGTTCACTATTTCTGATTATTACCTAGTTCATTGGAGACATTTTATTCTGTGGTGTTCCATGTAGGTGGCTTTCAAGTAGCACTGCCATCAAACAAAAATGAGATGGACCTAGACCAGCCTCTTAGATATTCTTATGTGCATACTTAGAAGTGGAGATTAGTGGGTCATTGATGGGTAATTAGGGATGTTCTTAGCATGCAGGTTAGAGATGGCCTCAGTCATAAGTTTCCAACTAGTTTTATGGTACAGGGGTTGTAGAACATGCATTAGTGATTCTCAACCTTCTTAATGCTGTGACCCCTTAATATAGTTCCTCATGTTTTTGTGACCCCCAACCATAAAATTATCTTTTTGCTACTTCATAACTGTCACTTTTCTACTACTGTGTATTATAATATGGATATCTGATATGTGACCCAAAGGGGTTGTATCCCACAGGTTGAGAACCACTGGTGTGCATGTTAGATGCTCTGTGTTTTGCGAAGGATCCAGAAGTTCCATCTTTCTGTTCTACTTTCTTCTGAAAGTCAGTGTTGTTTTCTTCAGTGGTCACAAGATTATTGTCATAGATCTGGACATTCCACACAAACGTAGTCAAGCCAGTGAAGGAGGGGTTATGGCTCCCCATGTATCTCCCATATTATAGAGGAAAACACTTTCTCAGAAGTCTTTCATAGATCCCTCCAGGTCTCACTGACTAGAATTCTATTTGTTGAGATAGAGAGTAGATAGAGGATGCCTGGAACTTCTGCCCTCAAAGTGAGAGACATCCTACCAATAGGGGGAAAGCAGAGGCTGTGTGGTACTTTATAATATGCAATGTCTATTCTTTTATATGTACATAATGTAAGTATTATAAATGCTGTATCGATAAGCTCTTACCAAGATGTCATTAAGAAACAAATTGTCATGAACAGATGGCTCCAAACAGTAGTTTATTATCAGCCATACGTGAATGGGGCATGTGGAAATTCAGCCGTGTGTGCCTGGAGGTCAGGATCGGCATGGATCAGGTTTACTTCACATGCCTCTCACCTTCCTTGGACTTAGGTTACATAAATGGGAATCTTTTTCTCATGGCAAATGCAGAGGCATGAAGCCTCAAGCCCAGCCATGAGATACGTTTCAAGCCTTTGCTCAGTCCTTACTCTTAACACAGTATTAGTTTAAGCCAGCCACACTCTCAGGTTTAAAGTCTGGGAACAGGGAAATACACATGAAATCTTCCATGAGACTGAACTGAATCACACAGCCAGGCCTAGTGAAGACAGGACATAAAGAAATGGAGGAAAAGACAAACAATATATTGGAAGAAATAAATCACTTAAAGAAAGCAAAGAAAACCAGGAAAAAAATGAATCAAACATTTTTTAAAAAGTGGCACAGGATGAGGGAACATAGACATTTGAACTACAAATTCATACACCATAAATCAATATTTTCTCCTATGAATTATGTAAGAAGCTCCTATTAGCCAACATTGTCATCAACACTTGATATCATCAATGTTCAATTTTTTTGCCAACCAATTGGCAACAAGGTAGTTTTTAACTTATATATCTATGAATATTGAAGGAAGCAGTTGCATATTTTCCACTGACATGTTAGGGTTTTCTCCTCTGAATTTTGTGTTCCTATTCACTGGAAACTAAAAAGTTGAGATTCCTATATTTTCTCTTATGAATTAATAGGGATTATCCCTTATATAATGTTACTATTAGCTCTTGATTCACTTTGGATACTGCATAACTTTTATCCCTTCCTGTTACTTAATGCAGTAACTTTGTCATGGTTGTCTGCATCATATAGAAACCCTCAATTTTGTTGCAATCAACTTTCTTTTACTTTGTGTTTCTGGAGTTATTTCCATACATTTGAAAATTATATTGATTTTTATAATTTAATTTTTGTCAGGATTTTATTTTATTGTTTATCAAAATATATTTTCTCTGTGTATCTGTGGGTATCCTGGAACTCACTATATAGACCAGGCTGACTTCAACCTCAGAGATCCACCTGCTTCTGCCTCATGAGTCCTGGGATTAAAGGCATGGGACACTACTGCCTAGCTTTCTTGTCTGGTTTTAAAATTACTTTAGATTTGTATTTTTATGTGCCGCAAAGTTGACATTTTTCTTATGTTATGAAGATTTCCAAATATATAGTTATTTTAAGTTTTCTTTTTTCTCTTTCACTTGTATTTCTGTCATTTAACATGTTCTCAACATTACTTGGTTTGTTTCTGTGCTTCTATTGATCTAACATTAAATAACTTTGAAAAATATGGAAACCAGCTATTATTGAAGCTCTCTAAAATCCATATATAGTTTAAAAATTAATTATCCTATAATGGGGAGACAATACTACTCCCAAATGTCATAGGCTATCAAATCAAAAGTCTAGTGACAAGTGTGGGTTACCTTTTCTTGAATTGTTGGTAGCAGAATTTGATAGACCTCAAACAGTACAGACTATTGTCATTGATCTTGATTAATTCCCAGAACTTGGTGGTAAGTCCCACATATTTGAGTGACAGAACATGGAGAATTCAGTTGGTACAAACCTGGAAGCTTCCTCCTTTCTGGCTATCTTTCACAGTGTCAGAGGGTACTACGCTCACTACCATGGAAGAAAGTAATCAACAGTCTTACCCGGCTGTGAACACTGCAAGCTTCAGTACCAAGTGATTTGGCAAGATATGCCCATTAGTGCAATAATGACATGAATATTGTCAGAGTTACCAGCAACTTTAAAAAACTCGATTTAAGGTCCATTCCAGAAGCTCGATTTAAGAGCTCATGCCTGGTATTTTAGCTGAGCCAAGAACTCATGACTTGATAGCTCATAAGCCCTAGGGAAGAACCTACTATATTGTTCTGCTAAATGCACACAATACTAAATTGCCTCCTAAATATTTTTCTTTAGGCCCATAGATTAGCACAACAGTCAGCCCTCAGTAGAGAAGCTTCTATCTTGTAGGAGATGGAGAAGTATAGAGAAGTACAATGGTCAAAGTGCAGAGAATGGGACTGTGGAGGGCTTAGAATGAAACATCTATATCACCTCCCTTCTTCCCAAGGCTGAGGGAGCAGAAAGATCATAAGAATGAGAGGATGACTACAGTCAAACAGCGCTTTCCAGACATAACAGGGCTGTTGCATACATGAACTGGAATCGGCTGGGACTGAATGAGTGAGACTTGTACAAGATCAACCCAATTTTGTGTACTCCTTTTTTTCTAAACCTACTGAGTTTTCTTTTTTTTTCCTGTCATTTAAAAAATTTATTTTACATACCAACCGGTTTCCCCTTCCTTCTCTACTCCTGCTTCCTCCCACCACCTCCCCCCACCCACTCCTCCTTTGTCTTCACTTAGATTGGGTAAGGCTTCCCGTAGGAATTAACAAAGCATAGCACATCAAGCTGAGGCAGGACCAAACTCCTCACCCTCATCAAGGCTGAACAAGGCATCCCACCATAGGGAATAGGTTCCAAAGAGCCAGCTCATGCATCAGGGGACAGGTCCTGATCCCACTGTTAGGGGGTCCCACAAAAGACCAAGCTATCCAATTGTCACCCAGATGCAGAGGGCCTATGTCAGTCCCATGCTACGTCTTCTTACTGTTGCCTGTATACGTCTAGGTGAGGGCTCATCCACTGGAACACAGGCAGCATGTCAGGGGTCACAGATGAAGAAAATAGATTCTCATATCCCCACCAGTCACCAATAGCTCCTCAATTAGGAGTAGTATTTAAAAAGTCCCTTTCTCATCCATGCTGGCGTTTAGGCTACTGTTTCACTGTAGTCATCTGCTACCTCTGGATCTTACAGTTTTTATGCTCTCTCTTCCATGATGATCCTTGAGAATTGGGGGACAGAGAGTACTATAGGTCTCCTACTTAGGCTGAGAACTCCACAGTCTTATTCTTAACACAATGATCAGTTGTGAATCATCATCTGCTGCAGAGAGAAGCTTCTTTGATGATGGTTGATAGCTACATTAATCAATGGGTAGAAAAATTAGTATGTAGAGACAACTTATAGTATCTTCATTAGTAGAATATTTGTAGTAGATTTTAGTAGATTTTCTTCTAGAGCCCATGATATACCAAGCACTGGTTTTTTGTTTTTGTTTTTGTTTTTGTTTTTTTTTGCCTCAGTTAACAGCACCAGGCACGAGTTCCATCTTCTGGGATTTACCTAAAATACAATCAGAAAATGGTTCAGTTTCCAGGACATATGACACTCACAACCACCTATACTTCCCAAAATAGTCATACCACTATCACACCAATGGGCATGTTCTGCTAGGCTAGTCATGATTGTAGCTTACAGGGTTTACAGCTGAGTAAATCTACCTATTACTCTTCTTGCACAGTAATATGCATAATACCTTCCAACTCAATGAAAGCTAGTCAGTAGGGATGAAGTATTCAGGTCAGTATCACCTCGATTTCTCAATGTTCAGTGGCTCAAGTATGTGGTATCTTCAGCAGCAGGATCTTACCATCAAGTTCAGGAAGGAAACAAAGATCATTCACAAGGGGTTATAGTGTTTTGGAGTTCTATGAAACCCTACTGATCAACAATATGAAGAGAAGTAATCCACACTGGGCACTGGCAGTAGTTCTCAACCTTCCTAATGCTGAGGCCCTTTAATACAGTTCCTCATGCTATGGTGACCCCCAACCATAAAATTATTCTGTTGCTACTTCATAACTGTAGTTTTGCTATGAATCGTAATACAAATATCTGACCTATAACCCCCAAAACAGTCATGGCACAGAGGTTGAGAACTGCTGGTTAATGGCATCTAGGAGATGTGTTATCCCTGGGTGTAGGGTAATTCCATTTAAAATCTTTTTATATGTGTATATATGTATGTGTATATGTGTGTATTTTTGAAGTTTACACAGTAGTAGGCTTCCACATATCACTGTGTGTGTCTATGTGTGGATATATGTGTTTGAGATAGGTGCCTGTAGCCACCAGAATGAGGAATCAGATCTCCTGGAGCTAGAAGTACAGATAGTTGTGTCATATGTGCTGGAGACTGAACCCATGTCTTCTTCAAGAGCGGTGAGTCCTCTTAACGGCTAAGTCATCTTGTCAGCTTCAGTCCTCTTTCTTTACAATCCCTGAATGTCCATGCAAGGACTTGTCCTCCTCAGCAGTTTGTTCTGTTCTCAAAAGGATAATGTCTCCTCTAGATTTGCATTTAACATTTCATGGAGCTATTTATAATCTCCTCAAGTTTTCCCGGCATGGCCTTTGCTCTGGCTGGACTACCTAATTATCACACCATGTTAAAGAAACCAAGCTCATTAGAAGCACCTCTTTTGGATTCTATTAGCTTCCTCTTTGCCCTGGCCAGCCATCTTACAAATACATGCATTTGAATAGGGAAACCTAGAGGCACGCTTGAAAAACTTCAAATCCTTCAGTACCCTTAGAAAGTACCTCAAGAGTCATGTGCTTACTAATGACCTAATTTTCATATATAAAGGACAGGACCTGATAGCTATTTGTAGCTCATTTAGGGTAGTTAATGAGGAGTTACCTAATGAAGAGGCCGAACAACAGCACAAGAGTTCTCTTGAATTGCCTTAATCATCTTTGTCTGATGAGAATCTATTCATCATTTTTTAACCTATTCAAAAGGATACTGAAGGTGTGACTCGTTTAGATATTTAGTAACATATTCAATCCAGTTTGGATTGCTTTTGTATACTGAAAAGGAGCCACTTTTTAATGAGTGCATTTCTACCTTATAATTCTCTGGGAAGATAAACATGCTATTTAAGAAAAAGAAATGAGCTCAGAATTGTTAAGCAGCTTCATAAATGTTCAGCAATTTTGTATTTTCCCCTTGCTTTGTCTGCACATCTCACTTTTCTTTCCAGCTTTGGTTGGGTTCTCTTAAAAGTCACTGTCTCCTGGAGCATGTAATTTTAAGTTACAAGACAGTGAAGTGACATATTGCAACACTGGAATTGTTGAGTCAGGCCTTCATAATTTCACAACTGTTAAAATACTCACATTGGAAACTATGACTAATTCCCTCTAATTCTCAAAAGCCCTCTCAAGAGAAAACTCACATTTTGTGCTACTCAAATGCCATAAAAACGACTCCCTCCTGGCTCCTCGCTCAGCTCAGCATGTAGCAGCACAATAGCAGGTTGGCGCCCAGAAGCAACTGTGGGCCGCATTAAAAGCTGGCCCCTTAATTGTGCCTGAGAGATGAATAGAGTAGAACCCACTGTTCAGACCCAAGGTTGAAAAAATTGTTTAACAGATTCTGTTATGATTGCATCTTATAAGACTTCTACTAAATATTTAAGGACTTAAAAATAACTGGTTTTGATGGATTTGATGGTGCATTTAAATGGAAAATGTCAGATGCTGAAATTTGGGAAATTATAAAATTGAGTTCTTAAGAATCTTTTAAATTGTTTTTTTTCATTTTTTATGTGTATGGGTGTTTTGCCTGCATGTAGGTCTGCACACTAGTAGGCTTGGTGCCTGGCAAGGACAGAATAGGGCATTGGATCCCCTAGGACTGGAGTTACAGATGGTTGTGAGCTGCCATGTGGGTCCTGACGAATTTTATCCAAAGAAATGCTTTGGTGCCGCTGAACATGCTTTTAAAGTTCTCACAGATAACTCAACTCTCTCTTGCCTTACAGAAATCTCCATGTGGGGAACCAGTTTGTTCATCAATTGCCATGGGCCAAGCCGATGTAACTTGCTGTCTCACTTATAAATAGGTACAGCAAGGAGCTGATGTTTTTGGTGTTTAAAACTGCCCTTTCTGCAAATGAATGGAAGTAGAGAAATCATTCTGAGTGAGGTAACACAGACCCAGAAAGACAAACAGGGTATGCATTCACTCACAAATGGATATTAACTGTAAAGTATAACCGCTCTATAATCCACAGACCCAGAGACACTAGGTAACAAGGAGGGTCCAAGAGGGGGACACACATATCTCCTTGGGAAGGGGAAATAGAAGTGATGTCCTGGGTGGACTGGGGGTGGCTGGGGATGGGAACTTGAGCGGTCGGGTTGGTGGGTGGATTGAGGGGGAGAGTACTGAAAGAGATGACTGGAAAGGAGGGCATTTCCAGGTCAGGTAGAAATCTTCAAGGATGACTCTAGCTAAGACAATAACAATAATGGATACTTAGCCTGAACTGGCCATCTCCTGTGGGCAGATTGGTGACTACCCCAATTATCATCAGAGAGCCTCATCCAGTACCTGATGGAAACATGCAGAGACCTACAGCCAAACATTTCATGAGTTTGGGGAATCCTGCAGAAGAGAGGAAGGAAGAATTGTAGGAGCCAAAGAGGTCATGGATATCACAAGAAAACCCACAGTAACAGCTAACCTGGTTCATAGGAATTCAGAGTCTGAACCGATAACCAGGGAGCTTACCTGGGACTGACCTGCGCCATAAATATATGTGGCAGTTGTGTATCTCGGTCTATTTGTGGGACTCCTAACAGTGTGAGCAGGGGCTGTCCCTAACACTTTGGCTGACTCTTGGGAACCTATTCCTTATACTAGATTGCCTTGTCCAGCCTTAATACAAGGGGAGGTGCTTAGTCTTACCACAACTTGCTTTGCCATGCTATATGAATAACCAGAAAGAGAAAAGGAGTAGATTGAGGGGGGTGTAGAGGGGAGGTGGGGGCAGAGAATGGGAGGAGAACAACAACAAAAATCCAAAACAAAACCTGTCCTTTCTGAATTGTCTGACATGGATACATGCATTGCAGCCACTTTCTGCTTGATGATGAAGACAGGTTCTGAGAAATATTCCATTAGAGTCAGCTGATTTCTTATTTACATTTACACAAGCCTAGACACTCTAGGTCAGCCAGGAAATGTGGCCTCTTAAAACAATAGACACAGCAAAGAAAGGATGGGTGGGGCTGTTTCCAGCATCACATCACACACTTTTGCAGTAAAATATTTAGAAAAACAGGGGCACTTTCTGCAAAAAGAGTGTAGTAATTGTATAAATCAGCAGTGTAGCATTTTGTTATCATAATCAAGAAGTATAAACTGTCCATCATTTCATGTGCTCTATGCCTTTTTATTAAAAAATCTGCATATAATATATTTTAATTACATTGTTTCCCCTCCTCTGATTCCCCCATCCTACCCACTTCCCTACTTACCCAACTTCATGCTCTCTCTCTCTCTCTCTCTCTCTCTCTCTCTCTCTCTCTCTCTCTCTCTCTCTCTCTCTCTCCCTCCCTCCCTCCCTCTTCCCTATCTCTCTCAATACAAAGCAAAACAAAACAAAATCATAAAACAGAAAAACAAAAAGCAAAGTTCAAAACAAAACAAATAGCACCCAAATACCCACGGAGTCTGTTTTGTGTTAGTTAACTACTTTGGGACATAGGGCCTGCCCAGGAGTGTGGTTGATATACCCAGTGACACTGCATTGGAGAAAACTGATTTTTCTCTTTGTAGCAGGTATTAATTGCAGATAGCTTCTTGGTTAGGGGTGGGACTTTGTGTCTACTCCCTTCTCTCAGCGCTGGGATTTTGTCTGGGGGGGATCTGTGCAGGTCCTGTGTGTGCTGTCACAGTCTCTGTGAGTTCATGTGTGCATCAGCCCTGTTGTGTCTGGATGATGCTGTATTCCCTTGGAGTCATCAACCACCTCTGGCTCTCACACTTTTCCTATCCTCTTCTGAACAGTTTCCTGAGCTTTGAGGGGAGGGGCTTTAGAATTACATCCCATTTAGGGCTGGATGCTCCAAAGTCTCTCACTCTCTGCACACTGTCCAGTTGTAGGTCTCCATGTTAATTCCCACCTACTGCAAGAAGAAGCTTTTGTGATTAGGGTTGAGTGATGCACTTATACAGGGGTATAGCAAAATGTCATTAGGAGTCATTTTATTGCTGTGGATGACCAGCAGAGCAGTAGGTATGCTTACACCAACACTACTGAAACCAGGTAAAGGAATGTGTAATGTCATCAGGTAAAAGGAACTTTTCATTGCCATAATAATTTTATGAGCTCCTGTGTATGGGGGCCTTTATGAACTAAAATGCTATGAATGGCACTTGGCTAGTACTGCATTAATGATTTCACAGATGAGAACACTGAGGTGAAGGGTAGTTAGGTAGGCTCATTTTGCAAATAAGGAGATTGTCTCATTAATTTTAGTCTTTGTTG